CTTTGAACCTTAGCTCATCTGCTGACTTCTTTCTAAAGATCTTCTAATCGTCCGACACTTTTCTGTAGATATCCTAGTGATCGATGAAAACAATAATTAGGCCTCGTGTCTTCTCGGCAAAAAGCTCTTCGACACGAGGACAACTTCAGTTCCCTGTCTGCCACCATTCTTTAAACTAAGCCTTACACCTCCTCAACACTACATGAGAAAGATGAGTGTCATCCCTTTGCCAGCTTTTTCTCTTTGACCTCTTGAATTCCTTCCCCCTGCAAACTTTGGTAGAAGACCGCAGAAGTTGCAGTGACAAAGGTCCTCGGATTAATTGAAGCTGGTTCAAAACTGGTCTCGAAGCCCGATCGCTTGAGATTTTGAGGTATGGTTGATGTTTTGAATGCTCAAATGAGTGCCGAAAAGGTGGGTAGCTTGATTAACAAAAAGGCGATCTTGTACCCATTCCAATGCCCTTTCAACACAAATTTGGACCAGTAGCTTTCCTCCCACAACCCTCATGACATCCACGCTTTGTCTTGGAATCTTCTTCACATTTCTCGAGAATTCTTTTACCCTCCCGTTGGCTTTTCTTTTACACAGGGTAAGTGGTGGTCACTTTTCTTGGCACAAATGAAAGAAATTTGCGGTGAAATTCTGTTTGACCATCTCTCCCAATTTTCGAATAGAGTTTGGGCCAAGTTAACATATCCACTTATATGCTTAGTCGCGATGGGTGACTTGAGAAATTACTCCTCTCAGTACAGTTGAAGGACCACTGATTGACACCGTGAATCCAAGCAATTAGAACTGAACAACAATAATTCCCGTGAGCATACTTACTTGTTTGCCTATCGGAATTTGATGATCACTTTGGCACCTAATATTACCCTCCTCTGGTGATGAGATAATTAAAACTCTCGATAAGCGGATATGTGGCTTGAATCCAGATCGGGCAAGAGGGTAATAGGTCCTCTGTACGCCCTTCTGAGGATCAGAACGAAATGGTTGCTCATTCGCAAGTAAGATTTATTATAGAAGAGAAACTTGAATTCAAATATTCCTGAAAATTTGCTGTGGACCCGGAAGCACGACACTGAATGACTATGGCCCATCTTGGGTGTTGAGCAAGATTCATGCATCAAATAGAAGTAAAGTGGCCCGTGGCATCGGCACCTGTGAATAGAGTCAATTTGTGGAGGGACATTAATTGGGTCCCAATAAAATCACTACAAATGACAAGCGGCATATATCTCGAGTTGGACTTGTAAACTCCCGGCGTCTGGAAGACCCCAAAGGAAGACCTCCGCTCTGTCACATGAGTAAATTAAATTGGATGGAAAAAAATTAGGCATAGGGTTGGTTGCACCTTATTTGGCAGAGAATATTTCGGGGCCTTCCATTGAACTTCCACCACTGCATGCGAACACTATTCTTTCGCGAACGGTCTATAAAAGAAGGACGCTCGCGTTCGATATACGAGAATGAGAAATATATGCGAGATCCTACCTGGCTGCTATCGCACGTTCCTGGCCACAGTTGGGATCTGTCCTCCTAACATGAATTTTGCCATATACCATTTTGAGCAACTGTCAAGGAGATATTTTGGGTGGGGTCTTGAGTTTGACTGCATTCGTCCAACATCATTGTCAAGTTGTTGATGCATTGCCGGCGCTGGATCTTGACCTCAAAATTTGATATGAGGTGCAAAATGCCGAACCCATCACCAAAGAGTGTGGATGAGATTTTGAATGGCGTTCGTAAGAAAACTCCTTGTTGGAGTGTGATAATAATCATTGAATGGATAAGGGATGAGTGAGTCTATGTGATACTTGAGTCCTCTCACTACTACGCTATGGAAGAGCGCTGTTAGATTGACTTCTTCTTCTCCTGCCATCTTTGTAGACCGCGCCCGCATGGGGCCTCTGTATACAGTGTCGGACCCCGATGTGTTGCGTTCTAAAGTCTGAGACAAAGAGTCCAAAATCTGGCAAACTCGTTTTGAAGAAACAGATTTTTTTGAAAAAAGAAGTGCACAAACATGTCGACTGGTATTAGCTCAGATTACCAAGAGTCGCCACCTAAATATTTTAAAAATAGGGAATTTAGGAAACCCTAGAACCGGTGCCAAAGGCCACGTGTCCGTGCATCAACCGGAGTTGTCTCAGCTTCGGGAGCCTAGGTACGATCGGGGAAGTCAGCTATTGAGCCCCTTTCGCCCGGGATCCGAAGATCGGCCTCTACTAACCGTGATATCCGTTTTTGAATGCGTTTTGTGTTCTTATTCCATTTGTTAGCCTAGAATTACTATGTTATGCGCACAGCAAACAAGTATAGACTAGATTGCCTAATTTGGAAACAAGCATTGCATATTCATTTATCTTGAAAAAAACATTTTTGGAATTTGCTACTCGCAAGTAGGCTAAAATACAGATTTCAACGAGTTTTTTCCAACTCAGGCCATCTAACCTTCACCCACAGGCATCCAAACAATTATATCACGTAAGCATTTAGCCGCATGGCAGGCATACTGTCATGGCAACACTCGCACGCATGCAGTATGCTAAAGCAGGAAAATACTTACATAGTACTCCGTGTCAAAACAATAAACTAGTTAGCAAACATGCATGATCCTAGTTCATATTAGAGTGGCTAATGCAACGCATGCAAAATGCAATTAGAGTAGGCTCGGCTAACCTAAGCATGGCATGTGAAATGCAGTCAATTGATGCACGTATTCAATTTGGAATTGAAGTACAAATGCAGTTAGCGTTATGTACCGAGCCCGGTGCATGTAAAACAAATGGATGAATGCACGCATGCATAGCATAAGGTATGCTAATTTAAACATGCCCTAATACTAACCATCAAAGCAGGTAAATAAAAGGGAAGAAAGAAGTGGGGATTGGAAGACATGCACACCACTCACACACACTTATTACAGATTTGCCCTCGCCTGGAGGGACCAAATAAATAATACAAATCAATTAACTATGCAAGCTAATTAAATATTACAAATTTCCTAATCAGCTAACAAACTAATTAAGCTAGGAAAAGCAGTAAACCGCCTCGGGAGGAGAGCCAGGTGCAGCGCACGCTCGGGTCCTGCTCGGAAGTGCACGGCCATGCATAGTTTGCCTCTATTTTCCCTGCTCTGCTCCTCTGGAGGCTACCAAAACCTCAGGGATGTTTCTCTGGATACTGGGAATCACCACCGGCTGAGTAGAATTACCACCGGCAGTGAATGGTGGTCACCGGCACAAAATTAATCGATCGGCTGGTGAATTACTGTCGGTCGGCAATGTACACTGCCGGTCGGCAAAGAGTGCCTGCAAAACCTGCAACTCACAGCAGCAGAGGACAGAACTTGCATGGCAATACAATTCAAGCAATGTATGCACCAATCATGTCCCCTATCATGTTTGTGACTCAAAGGGGCATGTGTCTCGATTCTCAGACCGCCAATCACGCATTTCCATGCATGACGGCCCAAAGAATCAAGTGTGCAACTTTCACGTCAAATGAAATGCAAACCAAACAAACAAACCAAGGCCCAATTCCTATCACCAAGTCAAGGAATAAGGCATGCATGCAAGATGCAATGCAACCGAGGCATGCAAGCTAAGGATGCAACATGGCATGGCAAGACACCTCTCTGCTGCAGGTGCTCACGGTGTCGACGGTGGCTCCTCCTTTCTTTCTCACCAACGTAATTTTTTTCTCACAGCGTCACGGCGACAGCTTCTCCTCTCTCAGAAGACATAATAAAAGACCAATGCAAAGTAGAAAATTTTTCCTTGGTTAAATCACTTTTTTATCGATAAATAAATACACCTCACAAACCCATTCTTCCTCCTTAGATTTTCAACGCACTCTCTCATTTTGCATCGTCTCTGCGATCAGATCTCTCTCTACATTGGCCACAGAACCAGTTCGCGTCCTCGTCACTGGTGCTACAGGTACTCACTCTTTCTCACTGATCAAACACGCTAATCACTCTCAGATCTACTTATATTTTAACAAAATCTATGTTTTTGACTGTTAACCCCTTCATTATCTTCACCGATCTTCATTTTTTGTTTTTTGCTTTTGTTCTTCAGATCTAGAAAATGATGAAGATGGAGATGAAGATGTTGTTGTTGATGAAAATGATGAAGGTATTTTTTGATTTGAGCTTAGATCTATTGTTGATGAAGATGAAGAAAATGATGATCTATTTAATGTGTTGGGTTTTTTATTTTTTACATTTGAGCTCAGATCTGTTAGATCTGTTGAATATATATATCTCTCTCGCTCTCTCTCTATGTTGTTGTTGTTGATGATGATGATGATGATGAACAGATCTGTTAGATCTGAATTTTTTTTTTTTACATTTGAGCTCATCAGATCTGTTAATGGTGATGATGATGATGAACAGATCTGTATGATAATAATGAACATATCTCTCTCTCCCTATGTTGTTGGTTGTCATTGAATATGATGGTGTTATAATCACTACAAGAAAAATAGCATACAACCACATTTTTTTTCCTGGCGTTTTTTAAAAACGTTGTGAAATGTTTTATAATTTTTCACCATCTGTGCAAATTTAATTATTTCATCTCGTTTGTTCGTCGTTATTAAAAACAGTGAAGTAACATTTATTTGTGATTGAAGAGGCAAGACTTTTCTGATCAAAAGAAGAGGCGTAACTTTTGAGAGAGAGAGAGAGAGAGAGAGGCAGAGAGAGAAATCAAGGCCTTGGATCTTCGATCTCCATCGATTCTTTGGTTGTATGATCTGAAAATTTTTGTTCTACACTTGATTTGAGCATATGTCTGTAATATCGTTTGAATCCCTCTTTATCTAAGTCGATCTAGGGATCAAGGTTAGAGTTTTTCTGATATGGATTTGCTACATTCACACTAGATCCGTAAACTTTCATGGCTGAAACTAACGATTTATAGTTGATTGCTAGTTTTTTTTCTTCTATTTTGTATATTCGCTTTTCGAATTGATGTATCTAGGGTTTGGAGTGCCGTGTTAATGTCTCTGATCACGTACAGGATAAGCAAGCAGCGTTGGATCTGGATCGTTAACAACAGTGTGTAGAAGCAAGCTCAACGATGTTATTCTCAGATCTGCTCTCTCTATCTCTCCGATCTGCTATTATGGTAATATCAAATCTGCTCTCTCTATCTCTCCAATCGAATTTCACGCATTCTTTTCATTGCTCTATGAGATTTGGACCTCTCTCTGTTTTTTATTGAATCTCATTATCTTTGTCACTCTTATCACATTTTCCTTATAGAAAATGTCAAACAGTTTCTAAAATTGGTGCTGGTGACTAGTTCGTTGGTGCTCTCCTATGCATATTGATGATGACCTATTTGTAGTTGAGGTTAGTATTCCTTGATGTTGTGATTCTTATCCTACTGGCATAAATTTTTTTATGAATCTTTTTTTTGGTTGGAATAGCTTGTTGATATTGCGATGCTTATTGTACTATTTTCCTTGCATATCCAATGTTCGATAAAATGTGTCAATGTATAGACACCCCATTTTTGACTGTCCTCAAGACTTGGACATCATCGTTTGAACACTCGATGATCATCCATGTTTGTGTTCGTCTTGAGTTCTCAGAGGTTTCGGTCGCGCGCCTTGCCTCAAGACCTCTCAACTTGTTTGTCTTGTGCTTGGTTGTGTACCAAACACTTATGTTTTTGCTTCTGAGGGCAGGAAATGGCTTGTTGGCCATCCCCACACCTCACCGGCCTTGGCTTGAGGCCACCGGCCTTGTTTTCTTGCTATCGGCCAAATATTTTGGTCGGTCGGCCATTTTTGTTGATCAATCGGCCATATTTTCCAGCCGAACCCTTTCCATCTACTTTTGGCAGATATTTTATGCTAGCTGTCACAGCTGGCATCCACAATACACCCCCTCAATACTTGTGTTAGCTTCTCCAAGAAGCTTAGGAATTGAATTCCTATAAAAGGAGGGCTTCCCCTCCCTTTCCAGAGGTTGAACAACTCTGAGATATAACTTATATATCTATATCTCTCTATATCTCCCTCTCTCTATATAGTTGTGTGTGTAATAGTGTTCTAAGCGGGTTTTTGTTCTTAGTTTTGCACTAAGACACCTAGTGTTACACTATACTTTGGTTGCTGAGGTTTTAAGGGTTTGATTCCAGAGTTTTGAGTTGGTTTTTGATCAAAAAGAGGTGCTGGAGTTGGTGTTCTTGAAGTGTTCTTCAAGGGTGAGAACTTACCTTTTTATTCTCCATTTTTGCTTAAGGTTTTAGACCTATTTGAATATTGTTTCCAGCTTAGTGTATAACTGATAAAAGTTCGATATTTTCATGCTTAAGATGTTTCATTAAGGTCACTTTTGTGTTGGGGGTCGTCCACCCCCTCTTAGGCCTTGTTTGGTCTCTTTTTGTGCCTTCCTCTTTGGGCTTTGTAAACCTTTTGTTTTGGCCTTCTCACCACTGAAATCCAGAGGATTTTCAGTGGTAGAGAAGTGGTTTTGAGGTCTTGTATAGGGGAGGGACACCGCTCTCCCTTTGTGACTCATTTGCTTGCAATTAGGGCTCATAAAGGTAGCATGTTTGCATAGCTTTATTTGGCTCCATTTCAGAGGGTATTTGGTGTTAGTTTATCATGTTAGACCTCTGTTTCATGTTGGTTCGATGGCCTATTGTATGCATCATGCACTTGCTTTGTAATCCCCTCTATTGTCATAACATGTACCACGCATTTAGACCATCACGCTTGCATGTTTTAGGTTGACTTCATGAAGCTTTTAGCCATGTTGTGACATGATTAAACTCTGTTTGGTGTTGATGCAGTCATATTCGCCTTGTTTGGTATAGTCACCATGTATCCTAGCTTGTTAGCTTTAAGTGTATGAGTCATGAGCATGCTTTATTTAGATTATTTCAGTGATTTGGAATCACTTATCATGTCATTTCAGTCCATGCTTGATGCTTGTATGCTTGCATTTATCATCCTTTCAATGCCTTGAAGAGTTGTTCTTTTGTGCCTTAAAATAGGCCATTGTGCATGCCTCTTTGTTTAAGTCCTTGGGCTGCCATATCAGTGGGTTTTAGGGCTCCTTTTGACATATTATAACTCTAATTTTCCTTGATTAAGACATGCCATGCTTGGTTGCAATGGGTGTAGTGCAATTCCCTCTTTTGGCCTTGTGTGCGCTTTGTTTTGTACTCGCCTTTCTTAGCATGTTTTGGCCTTGTTCCATGCATGTTTTAGCCTTATTTTGGTCTGCCCTGGGACTGTTTTAAGTCATCTTGGCTCTTTGGGGCTTGGTTGATATGGCCATGGTTTGAACCCCTTTGTTAGTCTTGCGTTTTGAGCTTTGTTACATGCCTTACGTGCATGGCTTGTTTGATTTGGCATCATCCTTTACACATTTCAGAGCTTGTCATGCTTGTGATTTGTCCATATTTGTCTCTTCTTAATGTGCTTGAGAGTCGACTCTTTTCATGCCTAAGTGTTGGACCTTCACATGTGCACGTTTGGGTGTGTTTTGTCCATCATTTCTTGCCACTTTGGCCACTGTTTTGGACATGGCTGAGGTCTATCCATCCTTAGTGTAAGTCCATGGATCATGCATTTATGTATTGTTGTAGGCTTACCGCATTGCATGCTGTCGCATCCTTGTGGTTGGTATCATTGTTGCATGCCTATGACTTTGTGTATTCCCATATCTAGGTTGCATTGTAGTATTGCATACTTATTGCATTGCCATGATGTTTGCATGTTAGGTTGCATCACATTGTATTTGACATACTCATGTTTCATTGCCTTACATTCCCATGTTGCATTGCATTGGTTACACGCTTTGCATTGTATATGGCATACATACATTGCATTATGTTTGGTTTGGGGTGTCAAACCAAACATGAGGAATGAGGGACGTTCGTACTTGGAGTGACGAAACGTACCTCAATCCTCGGTCGCCGACACTCTTGATTCAACATGATAGAGTGTGTAGCATTCATATGTTTTGTTGCATTCATTCATATTGATTTGCACACTTGACATCTTTGGCCACCATTCATCAAAATGCGTGATTGGTAGCCCGAGGGTCGAGAGCCATACTCCCTTGAGTTCATAGCATGATAGGGAGGGTGGTCATGCATACATTTGGCTTGCAAATTCCATGCCATGCACTGTCTGTCCTCTGTTGCAGCAAAACCAGTGTTCTGCAGGAAGAAATGGCCGGTTGGCAACTTTCAGTGCCGGCCGACTATCAATATCTAGCCGATGGTCCCATTTTTGATCGATGACCATATTTCCACGGTCGGTGGTGTTTTCTCTTGGCCGATGACATCCCAAAGTGCTCAGGAAGTGGTTCACAAGAAACCTTAGGATTTTCACAATTACCAAAGGTGCAGAACAGTGCAAACAGAGGCAACAGAGGCATGGCAACACGTTTCCGAGCAAAATGAATCGAGCATGCATCATCCAATCATTTCGAGGCAAAGCTGCGGCAGCCTTTTGAGTTTCATACTTAGTTTATTTTGTATTTAATTTGTTAATTAATTAAGGGTCTGTAATAATTAATTAGCTAGAGTAGTTAACCATTTATTTGATTTGTATTATTCTTTCGGACCCTCCGTCGAGAGGGAGAATTTGTAATAAGTGTGCGTGCGTGTGTGAATGTCTTCCAACCCCACGTCTTTCTCCTTTTTATTTACTAGCTTTTGATGGTTAGTTTAGGGCATGTTTCAATTAGCATACTTACGCTCGTATGTTTGCATCATTCATCTGTATTGCATGCACCGGGCTCGGCGCATCATGCTAACTGCATAGTATTTCAATTCCAACTTGAATACGTGTATCGAGTTGTCGCATTCCACATGCCATTCTTAGCTTGGCCAAGTCTATTCTAGTTGCATTTTGCATGCGTTACATTAGCCATCTTAACATAGCTAGGACCATGCATTAATTACTAACATGTTCCTTGTTTGGCTCAGAGTACATTGTGAGTGTTTATGCTTTAGCATCTTGCATGTATGTGAGTGCTAACATGACAGCATGCTTGCCATGAGACTATGTGCTTATGTGATATAACTGCCTGAATGCCTATGGGTGAAGGTTGGGTTGCTTGAATTGGAATAATTCGTCGAAACTCGTGTTTTAGCCTACTTACGAGTAGCAAACTTCAATCCATTTTCAAAACAAACGGATATGCGATGCTTTGTTCCAAATTAGGCAATCTAGTCTATACTTGTATGCTGTGCGCATCACATAATAATTCTAGGTTAACCGGAATAAGAACACATAATGTTTTCAAAACTCGATATCATGGTTAGTAGAGGCCGATCTTTGATCGGGCAAGCGGGGGTGCTCACGAAGTGACCTTCCCCAACCGTACCTAAGTTCCCGAGCCGAGGCAACTTTGGTGATGACGGACACGTGGCTTTAGACACGAGTCAGGTTTCCTAAATTCTCCCAAAAAAATATAATATTTAGGCGGTGACTCTGTATCTGGCAAAGCAGTCCATGTTTGGCACTTCTTTCTAAAAATCAGTTTTTCAAAACGATTTGTCAGATTTGGACTCTTTAATGATTCATCGGTCTTGCATTGCACTCTGCAAGATTAGATACAAGATCGTGACATTGAGTCCGAACTGTAGTAAGCCCAAATGAACAAAACGGGATTTCCTCCCGGGACATTCGGGGACGTCTACAGTTTCTGGCGACTCCGCTGGGAAGTTAGAGAACTTGACTCGAACTCATTATATCTTGTTTTGACTACACTTACGTGTTCTTTGCATTATATGTGCATTGGTGCGCCTAGGACACCATGTTTGCCATCTGCTATTCCTGAACGGTTTGCCGGAGGCTTGCTTTGAGAAGCGTGCCATAAGGTTGACCGGTTACGGGCTCTGCCATGATGGGAACACAAACCCCGATTTTTACCGGGGCACCCTTTTGACCATTCGACCTAGTGCATATCGAAATCCGTAGTGACCATTCCAAGATAGGACAGGTTGCTTACCCAATTATAGGTTGTTTGAAGCCGCTGCGTGCGTAGTGAAACCCTAGCTCCTGACAAAATAGGACGGGAAAACCCTACTCCTCCATAGGGGTGTTTTGGCTCTCACTTGTTTGCTATGCGCTTTTAGAGTGTGTCTCTACAGGAATGCATGTATCAGTTTTCAAGTCTGAGTATCAGGCCCGAGGGCACCAGTATCGGTATTTCGAGAATCAGTTATCTGCGGGTATCAGATTCAGATTTGGGGGCAGTAATTTGGGAACAATGATCAGTGTTGGAGAACAGTGTATTCAGCTTATCAACTGCGTGTTTTTATACCCGACTATGTGTTGTGTTTATTTAAGCCGCTATACTATCTGCTTTCTGGTTGTTTA